TTTTGTATATATATATAATTCGTTTTTTGTTTACTTAAATATAATTCGCGTATTCGCTGTGATAATTTTTAGACGATTGTTGCATATGTTGCTGTGATCTTTCTGTATGTATGTGTGTGTGCCCTGTATATGGGTGTATGAGTGTGTGTGTGTAAATAGCATAATATTTAAATATGTAGTATAGTATATAGGTAGTAGTCGTAATATGCGTTCAGCTATAGCTTTACTCTTCACGTATTGCCCGTCCGTCTCGTTTCGTTTCATTCCGTTTTGTTTCGCTCCGTCCACACTTTACTTGCGTCCCAGGGTATCGCGCCATTCGTTATATTTGTCCATATCCTCGTGCAGCTGCAGCGCCTCAACGCAGGCATTGAAGAACGGCGATCCGAAGCAGTCTTGCCTGTATATATACAAATAAGTTTAGCATTAGTTGACGAACTCTATAGGGGTTTCTAAGGCTTTTTTGCTCGCACATTCAAATGGAGCCAAAATGCAAAAAGTTTTGTGTTCAAAAATTCGTTTTTGTTGGCCAGTGCAAACAGTGAAAAAATGCAAAAATATTGCAACCTGCACATTCACAAAAAACGGGGCACCAAAAACCAAAATTGTAAACAAAAAGGTAAATAAATATAATGTGAAACTAAAAAATAACCTACCACAAAATAAAAACGGTAAGCATGCGTTTTTAGTCGCGTCGGAAACGCGCCAAATATTGACGACAGCTGCGCGCTGCACTTGTTGCTCTCGTTCTCTCTCACTCTCGCTCCCTTGGCGCTTAGCTCTTCGCTTTTCATGCGCTCTCTCGTTGCTATAATTTTTTTGCATTTGTTTTATTGTTGCGCTCTCCCTTGGTCAGTGCCGCACTCTAATTTTCATTTATCACAATTTTGGATGCCCTCAAATAGCCAGCGATTATTTGTTGTTCATTATTTTTAACATAATAATTAATAATTGATTTTCTTCTGCATTTGTAATGCATATTGTTTTTTTTTTTTTTTCGTTTTTTTGTGGGATTTTTACCGAAGGTTTTTTTTTTGTTTTGCTTGTGTTTTGCACAAATTGCGTTCTAGACTAAAATATTTATCGTGAATATCTATATATGTATATATATATATATTTTTGTGTGTGTGTGTGTGTATGTGTTTTTGCCAACAAATTTTACGCTAATTATGGTTTAAATCTTTACAAAATACCACAAACAAATTTAATACATTTGCAAAATACTTTCGGTCTAGGTGTTGCGCTTGTGTTAGTATGCGTATGTGAGTGTTTTTAGATGTGAGTGATGAATTTTATCTTTGCCCTTTTCATGTAAATGCTGTTTGGAATACGCGATGTTTAGATTTTTTTTTTTTTTTTTTAAATATATTAAAAACAATGGATCCTTTATTTTACATACATAACGCAATAATAAACAAGCTATGAATACTTAAAAAATAAATACTTCTTCGGCAAAACGGGGTTCGCTGTCCTAAAATTCTTAAAACTCTTTCTCTTCCTACTCAATTTACCCCCTCCCTTTCCAACATACATATATCCATGCATACATATGTATGTGTACGTGTACTTCAGTGTTTGCTCACTTCACAGTGTACATACATACAGCCCGACGCACGCACATATATATATATATAGATATATGCATTTAGCCCCGCCCCCTCGTCCCATGTCCCTCGCTTACAACAAACGCATAACGTTTCAATAAATTAATTAAAATTATTCGTTTTTTTTTTAACACATACATATATAGTAAAAAAAAGCACTGTAAAGCATATACAGTAATAAATAAGTACGAATTAAATTTGGGCGTTAAATATTTAATTTGTTGTTCTGCTTTGTTGTATGTAGTTTTATTGTTGYTGCTGCTGCTGATGCTGCTGATGCTGCTTCTGCTGCTACTGCTGCTGCTTCAGAGTTACTTCGGATGTGATCGTTCCAATACCAGTTCCAGTTCCATTACGAACTGGTATCATTTGGATTCTAACTTCCATTACTCTGCGAGAGTGTGTGAGTGTGTTCGAGCGCTTAACTGCGAATGGGTGGATGTGTGTATGTGTGTTTGTGTGTGAGAGTGTTTCGCTGGTGGTGTTTTTCGCTTCTGTTGGTGGTGTTGGTATTGTTGTTGTTGTTGTTGGTGGTGGTGGTGGTGGTTCAAAAGCCAACCACTTAGAGGAGTTATGTAGCTGGACCAGGCGCCATGTTGAATGATATGGGCGAACCATTAACTACTTTTATAAAATGTTGTAAATTTGTAATCTCTTCTGTGGGTGTTAGAAGGACTTTCACGCATTCGCCAAACCATTTCGAATCAAAGCAGTCTTTCCTAAAAAAGCACACAAAAACAAATCAACAAAAATAAGATAACCAAATAAACAAAAATCAAGAGTATTAATAATAATGAAACCAAAAGGAACATATATGAAAATCAAATTGAAATGAAAATGAAAATGAAAGGCAGCTAGAAAGCGAAGCATTTCGGTTTAGTATTTAAATACAACGGGCTTGTGAAAGGGATAGGGCGAGCCATTGATAACTTTTAGATATTGCTGCAGCTGTTCAATCTCTTCATCATCGATCAGCAGCACCTTAAGGCATTCTCCGAAGGTCTGATGGGCGAAACAATTGGCCCTGCAGGCAAATAGATAAACAAGAAGATACAGCTAGCATACAGATAGATAGACAGTAGATAGTTAGTTAAGGTAGAAAAGTCAGCGAAGAGAAAACAAAGGAAAGCGGAAAGCAAAATAGAAAATAGCTAGATATTTGTTTTTCTGAAATAAAAAATATTATTTTATGTATACGTGTGTGGGTCGTAATATTTCCTCAGTACTTAAAAAACCATGTCAGGGTTAGATTTCAAGCTGAAAAGTATTTTCTTTCTCGTTCTAATATTATTTTGGCGCAGCGAATTGCCTTGAACTGCTTTCAAATTGTTGTTCGAGGTTCGAGGACGTTTGCTCAAGGAAGTCGAAATGGAATGAAATTGAATTTGGGTTGGGCGTAAGGTTATATTAATGTTCTGCAAACTGAAAGTGAAATGAAATAGAAATGGAAATGGAATATGGGTAGTCATGATGTAATCTGCAAGAAGTCCAAGCTGAATGAAATGGAATAGGGGTATGATAATGCTAGCGTTGACATTGAAATGAAATGGAAAATGGATTATAGTAACAGTTTGAGTATTTGAAGTAAAATTTATCGAAGAGAAATAGGTGGGATACTCTAGTCTAATGGAATCAGGATATGTTAATGCTGGAATGAAGTGTAATGCACTGGGAATTGAGCTCTTCAAAGGTAAACTTACGCTTTATTAAAGTGAAAAGTGGAATGAAATGGAATTGAAACTACAGATATGCTTACTCGATCGCTAGACAAGTTTCATTTTGATTAGTTAGTATTACTTAGCTATTTGTTGATTAAACTTACTTGCATAGTCGATGTATACTCGTCTCACGGAAAAGTTGATAACAATCCTCACATATGCGATCCAGGCGAAAGAACATGGTCTTGTTGAAGATGCCCTTGCACTCCAGGTCGAAGAAATTGCTGCGCTTCGACAAATTGTGATTATGTGGCAACGCTGTGAGTATGGGTATCAAAACAAGAAACAGCACCACCGAGATCTTTATGTTGCGGGAACACATCTGCAAAGAAACAAGAAAAATATATTAGTAAAATGTCGAATAAATGTCAGCGGCAAGTCAATTAACAAAATTCGCCATCTGTGCTTGCTTTAATAAAATGAATTCTTCTACAAATTCTACCAAGAATATCAAATTAAAACCGCTTTGCTTTAGTATTTTCTGGTATACAAAAAAAAGTCGTTTTTATTTCGCTCAGTGCTTTTGATTATGCTTAAGTAGTTGAGTACCGGAAATAGCTTAAAAATAGCACGATTTACTGTCTGGCCGAGAGCTATTTATAGAGCGAGTCGTTACAATTAAGTTCTGCTTTAGCTGGCTCATGCCTTAAACCGCTTACTGGGTAAATAGATATGGGCCAAGTAGAACCTTGAAACCGCAAAAAAGGCCCGACAGGCCAGTCACTAACTCAGCGAGTGCGAGCGAGACCGTCAGAGGGAGGGAGGCAGGTAGAATGGGAGGGGGAAGCAACCTCAAGGCAAAGTGCGAGTACTTGTGGTACGTCTATCTATAAATAGATCCTGTCTGCAACTGCAACTGCAAACTGCGAGCTAAAAATAAAATTGCATTTCGT